TTCCACAGCCAGTTTGAATTGAGATTTTAATAAAGTGTTCAGAGTAGTATGTTGGATAATTATTTTTGATATAATGGAGAAAAGGGGTAGTTGTTTGTGAGCTTGGGTGAGGCTAGAGATTATATAGAGATAAAAATTTGTTAAAGCATGTTGTATTATCATATATTTCAAGTAGATCTAGTGGTAGGTTTGCAGAGGGTTTTCCTCGTAGTGTTTTAGTAGTTGGAGATGAGTTATCGTTTTCAGAGTTTTATGATAGATTTGGGGAGAGAGTTGATAGGTTGGTTGTTTGAATAGATGGAGTGGTTAGGAATAATAATGAAATGGTTGGTTGTGTTGTAGCAAGTAAGGGAGTGTTATTAGAGGTGATCTCAGAAGGATTTGATGAGTTGGTATCTGAGATGTTCAGGATTCCTTCTATAGAGGTGCTCACCATATACTCAGCTCTCACAGCTGCAAAGGGTGCTATAGCCTGTCCTGTATGTTGGGTCTGGCCATCATTAACTTGGTTCTCTGCGTAAATGGGCTTTACTGCCTGCCCACTTACATCATTCTCTTTCAAAAATGGCCCACTAAATATGGAGAACATCATTATTTTGGAAGCAATAGCTGTATTAATATTATCTATAGAAGGAATAGTTAAAATTATTAATTTTACAGACTTGGATAACTTTACTGGCTAATTTGTATCAGATAGTGTTTTTACAACAATTACAAAGTATGATCTTGATCCTAAAAAATGATTAATATGGGTAACGGACAATACTGCATATATGTCTGGCACTAAAAATGGCGCATTAGCTTTATTTAATAAAAATGCTAATACAAATTCAATTCAAACTGGCTGTGGAATGCATATCATTTATATAGTTATGACAAATTTTGAAGATAAAGCTTTTGGTAAACTACCATCATTTGGATTTTCTAGAAAGCCACAGCTATTTAATTTACTATATTTGGCTTGGTAATTGCATGACAGATATAATTCCAATCATAAAAACAAACCACTTAATATTAAAGCAGAATGAATTCGAATAATTATAATAAATTATTAGGATCACATTTTATTCAATATCAATTACCTATTTGAGAATGTTGGGGATATGAGTTAAAAAACTGCTAAACAGTATTTACAACAATGTGATGCATATATAAAATTTACAAATTGGTTTATTCAAATGCTTAAAAAATATTAATGCACCAACAGCCTATTTATTAGACTGGTGTTTATTTCATAAATAGCTTTTAATAAAAAGCTAAATATTCAAATTCATGTTTAATTACATTTGGTGAATATTTATATGAGCTATTAATGCAGTTTATAGCTAAAAATGATCCAATACCTCGAATCAAATTAGATAATAATTTGATACAACTTTTACCTGGGCGTCGTGCACATGAGATGCCTGATAAGTTAAGTGAGTGGATTGATTTTTTTGCTGATATTAAAGAAAATTTTGATATCTTTTTTGGTCAAGAATTATTAACAGCATTAAAGCAATTAAGCAATAAAGATTTTAATAATTTATTTGATAATTTAGAACACGGTATCAATAAGGCTTATGAGCATTTTATAAAATGATTATCACCATGGACACACTTGCTATTATCAGTATGTCATCTAGGTGAAAACCATGGTTATGAATTTGCACAAGCCTTTTGTTATGTTGTTTTTCAATTTTTGCCACTAGAACTTACTGAAACTGAGATAAAGTTTGTTAAACAATTGCAAGAAGATTTTAAAACAACAAGTCATTCTTTAGGCCTTTATGAAGAACTTTTAAATCATAAAGAATTTCAAGAAGAATTTCAACAATTTTGCTTAACTTTGGCTCCAAATATTTATAATTATCCATTAATCTATTAATTTGTTAAGGATAGAATTTATTTTATTATAATACATCAGCAGCAAATAGAAGGTCTTTTTAACAAGCTAGATTTAAAAACTCATCCGAACATGTCATTAAATATGAAAAAATCTAAGCTACAACTTTCATCTAATAATTTTGATGAAAAAAATATTCTTGAATTAACAAATATTCAAGCAAAACGTCGAAATCAACATCAAGATACTTTACAAAAAATGACTTAGAGCTATCGGAGAGGAACAAGCAACTAGAGCATTTATTAATTTATTTAAAAAATGATTATATTATAAATTTAAATATCTATTCTATTATAATGTTGACTTACAGAATATTCGGTATTAAGTATTATTGCTCAATTTTATTCAGAATTGATTCGAAAGTATTCTGCAATTGTACATAAATTTTTGTCGCAGATGACATTTGTGGTTCCTTCCGTTGGGAATTATAATTTATACTATAATTCTTTATAATCATCGCCTCATCTTCACCATTGTGGTTCATATTATAACTTATATAAAATATCTGATATTACATATTAATGTATTTATTATTACTTTTAAATATTGGCTTTAAAAATAAATATAAGCCTTTATTTTCTTTTATTCAGAATCGGTTTCTAAGGCCATTCACAAATTATTATAGAACTAGAACTCACTATTTAAATCACAATGCAACAATCAAATTATTATTCCCTTTGCCCAATTTTATTAATTATCCTAAAACTTTCGATACATTGACGGGGTTATGGAAACCTGAACCCAGCACATTTACAAAATCAATTGATTTGGAATTATACAAGATTTAGAATGGAGAAGCTCTTTTAAACTTTAAGTGGAATACTTACGGAAAATTTTATTATATATTTATCTGGATGATTTATAATATTTTTCTTTGTTGCTTTACTGGTGTAGCAACGTTATCAAACAAAATTTCTTGGACTCATCAACAAATTCTTTTAATATTCACTATTATACTTGGTATCTGGCAGTTTTTTTTTAAGTTCCGCCAGTTTATTTATTCCCCATACTTTACGTTACTTCTTCATGGAACTATGTTGATAATTATAAGATTTGTTGGTTACTTATGTTTTATTTTATTTATGTTATATTATTTACTATAAAGATTTGGGTGCTATTTTACATCCATCTATAACTTCAATTATATGGCTTAATGATTATAGTGCACCAACTTGGGCAATTATCTTAACTACATTGTTGCTTGAATTAAAATTTCTTACTTATTTCCGAGCGATTGAATATGTTGGTGTTTATTTTGCAACGATTATCGGTATAGCTAAAAGAGCCTTGTTATATTAGCATTTATTGTGTTTGCTTTTGCACACTCTTTACACCTCTTACAAAGACCTGCTATCGATATATCTTTGGATCAGCCAAGTTAATTCTAATGATCCAAATAATCCTTGGAATTTAGTAACAAAGTACTATAGTGTAAATTCGGATGGTTCTGTCAGTAAAGATCCTTTTCTATTGAACCTCCAAATGCCAGTACAAATATGTTTTCAACAGTAATATCTGCAATTTTAGCGGTTTATATTATGCTTACTGGTAATAATCTAGATCAAGTCATACTTGGTAAAAAATCTTTCGCTATATTATACTAAATTTTTTTAGTCATAACATTAATAGGAAATACAACTTCTTTGTCTTCTTGGTCTTTAAATGAGGATATAACTTTAACTATTCTAGTAGTGATGTTTTCTTTCTTTACAACAATTTATTTGATGAATTTGTTTATTGGATTACTTAGTGATGCAATAAATGAGACTAATAGCAAAGAATACTTTTTAATTCAAAGAGCTGAGATTGGTTTGCTTGAAATTATTACATTTGTGTGATATATTCAGGAATGTAATACATTTTTAAAAAGTCTTAAAGTTCTGAATTTGGTATATTGTATAGTTTATTAGGTTAGTACATAACTATATTCTAACTGTACTAAACATATACAGTCAGACCTCTCTAAATGCACGCAAATTCTGGACAAATATATAATTGATCTCTATAAATGCACCTTTTCTTATTATTCTCTAAATGAACGTTGTTTAAGTGTGGTGCATTTAGAGAGTTTTGACTGTTTACTAATATACCAAATTATTCAAACGATCTTAAAGATATCAAGTATTAGAATTAAATGTGAACTAAAGTTTCTTTTATCTAATATTATTTTGTTAGATAATATTTTAAGGCTTTTCATTCTGCAAATACAGCATTTATAAGATTTAATAAATTTATTGATATTTTTGCAAGTTTTAACTAAGATTGAATTATTTTATATGTTACCATATCAAATAAGAAAATGTAATTGGGTTTCCAAATATTATGTAAGTATAATATAATTTGTTGTTAATAATTAATTAAATAATTTTATCCTATAAAATTTTTATATTTTTAAATAGTTTTTATGAAGTTCATGTACATAAACTTCGTGATACGATTAGAGATATTCAAAATGATAAATGGAAAACTTTTAAAAAAGCCTTATATTTCTCCTTTACTTTTCAAAATTACTCATGTAGAAGATAAATCTAAAACTGAAATCAATCAAGCTGCTGAAATTAGTCAAATTAAAAAAGGATTAGAAGATTTAACTAGCTTATTTGACAAAACCGAAGTTGTGAAAAAGCTAAATGAGCCATGAACAAAGTTAGATTGTAAAAATTAATTTTATGTTATATCGAAAAAAAGTAGTTCATTATTAAGAAAATGTGTATTTTATTTAGTGAAAGCAAAAATTTCTATGTCGCTAAAGCATATATTTAAATTTGGTTTATTATACAAATTTTGCATTTATTTATTATTTATGATGTAATAATCATTTTTTTCTTCGCCCTATGTTATTTTTAAAAAATTTTTATTTTTATTTATTTTTTTTTAGTATAAATTTTTTTTTTTTTTATTAACGTTAATCATTTCATTTCTTTAATTTATGAATCATATGTCAATTAATAATCGGCTAAATTGAAAATGAACATAGGTTGTATACGTAATCATTATGTAATTAGTCTTGTTAAGATGGACCGGATCAATAAATTACTACATTACCCAATACACTCTTTTATAGTTGATAATCTTTAATCATTTTCTCACGACAACGTAAACCTTCCATCAAAGCTTTTACTTCAAAGTAATATTAACATTTGTTTTTCTATTAACAATTACTGTTTAATCGATAATAACATACTAGCATTGTCAGAATCGTTTCTGAGATAAATTGGTGAACCTTCGGACCTTTTGGATCAACTTTGTGGGTATGAAAGTTGATTTTGCAAAATTTTAATGGTTCAATAATATATATATATTGGATTAAATACTGTAAAACAATATGTTTTTCGAAGCTAACATAGTGATTCAACTGTCAAATTGTGCGAAAGTATAAAAGATGCTTGATAATTTATGTGCTGCTTCTTCGTTGCTATTATTTTTATTATTTATTTATTTATTTTTTTACTAACGGTCCTTATTATTTTATATAAGTATGGACACATTAAAGAAATACCGTGACTTGTGGTGGAATCAGGGTAATCTTCACCCCTTGGCAGAGTGGGAAAAAGTGAAGTAAGTGATGCATATCTTTATCTACTGAAGTTAAATAAGCTAATCTTTCACTAATTGTATCAAGACTCCCATATGTGCTTGCAGAAAATGTGACTATTGATAAATATGAAGAACGCGCAGACAGATTTAACGTTCATGCATGTTGGGAGTGGGTTGCGAAACTTGAAAAATATGGAATAATGTTGGGTGAAGTAATAGTTTATGAGCTTCCATTTCAACCTCATGAGGTTTGCATTTGTGAAATCTCTCATTTAATGATGGAACAATGCCTTCCTGTAAAACGGACAGGTGCTGCAATTAATAGTTTGGGAGCAACTCGTAAACATAATTAATTAATAATTCTTTTTATGTTATTTTTTTTTTATTTTTTTAAACTAATCTTGATTGCTTAAAGGGACCCGTGCCAAGGGTTTTTGTAAAGAACCTGATGGATCATTTAGACCCGACAAATCTGCAGTAGATTCACCAAATGGGAGTGATAGATTGGTACTTTTTTTACTATAGTATTGCTTTGAAATCCTTTAAAGTTTATTTCATACTTTCTTTTTAATTTATAGAACGCTCCATGGCCCAATATTGTATTAGAAGTCGCATCATCTGAATCAATCAGTCACGTCAAGGATAAAGCAAGGAAATACTGGTTAAATGGTAATCGCGTTCATGATGTTATTATCGTGAAGCTTTATTATGATGGGGAAAACCAAGTTCCAAGCCGTATGAAAGTAATATATTTTTGCATTATATGAGTTAATTTTTTATTCTCTGTCATTTTTTAAAGTTTTGATCTACAACAGGTATGGCATTATTGTGTATCAGGTCCCTATGTGCAACAAAAACTCAAACCAAAAAATAAAGTATGCTATATCGAGAAGCCTTGTTTTCTGCCAATTTACAAAATTTTAACATATATTGGTCAATTATTAGTTCGAATTTGGTACACACAATGCAAAAGGGGATACATTAAATTATCAAGAAAGAACATGTTTGATCAAAATTCCTTTAGATTGTTTGTATTATGATGTGGAACCCTCAATTCAGGTTCCTAGACATATACTTACAGATCCAATTATATTGGATTTTTTTTAGGGGAATTTACAAATAAGGCCCGGAAAGTGAAAATAATTACAAATACGGGCCTAAATTAAAAATAATTACATATAGAGGCCTAATTTTTAAAAAATATTACATGT